TTTCTGTAAAGTTTTATAAACAGGAAAAAGGCTAAAGCTGCTAACGTGCTGGAGCAAGAGGAGAAATCTCAGATGTTTATATGTAAATATATTTTTTTAACGGAGCTTTTGTTGGTTTAAACTGATTTTTGGCCTGAATTGTTTGTCCACATACAGCCACACATTGTTTCTGCTGCATGACAACATGGTTCTGCACAGTTTACAACACACAGTATCATCTTTCCTCTGGTTTTACAATGTGGTGAGAAGATAAAGAGAAAATGAAAATTAAAACTGCTGAATCTGCACCTGATTTCTTCTGAGCTTGTGCAAAAATAAGAAATAATTAAACTACCGAGTTCAGACAATTTTCACACTGATTGTAGTTTTGTTTTTTAACCTTTCAAAGTTTTTTACTAACTGCTTCATCCTTCTAGAAAGTCGCCCTCCTCCCTCTGATGATGATGGATTGACCTTTGCCCTGTGTCTGCCTCCAGGTGACATAGTGCTGCAGAGCAAGGCAGTACATCTGAGGGAGGGGCAGCGCGTCGTCCTGAACACCAACATCCTGCTGGCGTCAGACTCGGCGGGGCGCCCAGAGGAGCTGATCTTCACGGTGTCAGTCGCACCTCGACACGGCCTCGTTCATGCCGTCCAGCAGCCCGGGGTCCCGCTGATCAGCTTCACCCAGCTGGACGTGGCTGCGCACCGAGTGTGCTACACCCACGACAACAGCCACGACGCAGAGACCGACTCGTTCAGGTGAAACACACTGAAGTAAAAGTACAATGTAATGAAAATGATTTCACATTTAAGTCAGCAGGGCTCAGGTGTCGCACACAGTGCAACTCCGTACTAGAAAACCTGTGGAACCCTGAATATGTGCAGCACCATGAGGTCAATGACCTCTCTGAGAGTCCTGGGACAGAAAAAGTAAATTTCTTCACACTGTCAGCACTAAGTTTATTTAAAGTCTCATAGACATTTGTCATTTATTAATAAATAATCTTTACATTTTATAACAAAGCCATGAGCTACAACAGCCAATTGGAGAAAGTCAAATCACAAACACTTTAATCACTGATTGAATTTTAAGATAAATAGAATTTGTTTTTTATGGGAAGGGTCTACCGTAATTTCCGGACTATAAGCCGCTACTTTTTTCGCTTCATGCACACACCCTCATCATAGAAAACACACAACGAAATGCATATAATGCAGCTTTCAAGTTAAAGGCAATCGATCTGGCTGTCGACATATCTCATGTTATAACGTGGACACCTGCGGCTATGTACAAACTGTTATTTCGTTTTAAATTTAGTGGGTGCGGCTTATATTCACGTGCGCTCAATAGTCCGGAAATTACGGTATTTGATTTTTCCTCGTATTCTGTTTCACAGGTCTAGTTTTTGTTCTCTTTTTTTTAAACACATAAAGCTTGATTCATCAAGAAGGAAATATTTGTCCCTAAATAAAGTAAAATAAATAAAAATAATCTAGGGCTGCATGATTAATTGATTTGTGAGCGTGATTCAGATCCCTGTGCGACCTCACTCACGTGACAATGATTCTCCCATGTTTGCATTAGCAGGGAGACATCTTGCATCAAACCAAACGCTCCCTTTTCCTCGCTAAACTCTGTTAACCAGTAACCACAAAGTGATTTATTTCTGCCTCACTGCTATTCTGCGTTGGCTGAACAGGGCAGGCAGCAGAACGTTTGAAAAATAGTTGCAGGACGACACAGAATATCTTTCACAGTGTGAAACATGTTGGATTAGTTTTTGGAACAGTCTTCTCTTCCTGTCTACAGATCATCATGCGATGTAACGCCTTCCTGCTGTTGGTTAACGCAGAGACCACCCTGGTCCAAACCTTGTTAAGAAATCAAGTAGTAGTTAAAAATAATATACATAATAATTTAAGCCTGACATTTTAGGCTGATTTTATCAAATATTACACGTTTAAACCAGACTCCTCAATGTTTGACTGTCTCTGTTGATGCTGAGCAGCTGTTCTGTTTGACTTCGACCCTCTCATTTAGGTGAAGCTCTGTTTTGCTGCACAGCATGAAACTCTGCACACACCAGGAAAATAAATGGCAAATTATCTGCCAACATATTGTGAGAGGAAGATATTTCTGTCAGCACCGTGGCCCGATGAAGTATCACACACAACATTTGGCTTATGAAAGAAAACTGGGCAGCGAGATGAGAGAGAAATGTCAGGAGACTGAAGGCTTTTTCTGCTGCAGTATGTTTATCTGCCTTCCCAGCCAATTTGGCAGAGCTGTGGACGGAGGATGGGGGGAGTGTTTGACTTGGTGGGTGTGCAGACCTCGGGTTTGTCACCCAGACCTCTGCTGCCCCGACCGGCTGGCTGTCTGGCTCTAGAAGACCAGTCACAGCCAAGACTGAAGGACTGGGACTGAGTGAGAAAGGTGACAACAGACAGAGAGGAAGAGAGACATCCAACCAATCACACTCCGACTCCCAGAGAAGCTCATTTAAAGAATAGAGCTGGGATATTAATACTGATCTGCTGATTCAGTTTGATTTTGATTCACAAAGTCTAGAATTGATTCTTTTTTATTCATTTCACTGTCATTTATTAGCATCAGACCAGTGTTGCATACATTCCTACATTCAACAAGTGAGCAACCCTGTTGTTTCTTTGGATATAACATTATATAATGTCCACATTATAGACTAAGCTGTAAAACACTCTTCCTGGTTCTATTGTTGTGGATTTATTTTCCTTACCAAATGTAAAACTACAAAACATGACACATCTATGTTTACTAGGGACATGTACAGAACAGCTGAGCAGGAATAATAAAACCCTGTGCCGCTAACAAGGTCTCATCATTCTCCTTAATGTAAAACATAGTAAACATTGGCCTATAGAGCTGCACAGAGCAGCAGACGCTCCAGTCCACACATCCACTTTAATAATCAGTTTGAACACAGAGACTGATTCTGTTTGTGTTGACATCAGCCTGCTAGCTAGTGTTAGCTCCCGACAGGAACAGACCGAGTAAAGTAGACCCCACACCCTGTTCACCTGACTTCACGGCCTCACGTCTCAGAGCCAGAGGTGACATCTCCTCAACAAAACAAAGATCTCAGTAGACACATTTTAGTCATCAGGTGAGAATCAGGTTATAGTTGGGGTTATTGAACATGTAGTTGTGGTTAAGGTTAGGGTAAGGGTAATGAGTGTCCTCTCAGAGGTAGGAATATAAACGCACGCGCGTGTGTGTTGTGGCAGCAGATGATGGATGAGCATTATTAGAAGAATAACAACAGTGCTGGCGCCGCCGCGGCCACAGCGCCTGGCCACAGACGGCCATCCCTGAGCTAATATGGCCGACACCGGAGCCAGATGTTACACCAGGACCTTCCTTTGTGTGTGTGTGTGTGTGTGTGTGTGTGTGTGTGTGTGTGGTGGCCGGTGTGCAGAGGCCCACGGCAGTCTGTCAGCTGCAGCACTGCAGGGCTGAGAGGCAGATTGTGTTGGCAGAGGGATGAGAGGAGGACAAAACACACAGTCATTTTCAGGTCCAGTGCACTGTCAGTTGTCACCGTGATGTGTACATGTGTCTCTTTCTGTGGTTGTGAGGACATGTTATACAGCCCTGGCACCTCCACAGGGCTGTCTGAGGGTTCAGATCTGGTTTTAGGGTTCAGGTCAGAATCAGGTTTATGTCAGGGTCAGAGGATGTCAGCAGGCACACTAACACCAAAACTAGAGGTGAGAACAGCTCTTTACATGAGTGATTAATAACTGAAGCTGTATTCAATGTTATTCAACGGAAAGTCACAAGAAATACTTCACCTGGAGCCACGTATTGTCCTGATCACTTGTGAAGAACTCTTAGTAGGACAGACTCCTTGGGCGCTTCAGATGAAAGATCAGAGGAAAGGACGTCTCATGTTTCTAAAAATGTTTCTTCTATTCCTCACATCTTACATGGGCAGGACGGAAACACAAAGAAAAGACACAAGTGAGGGAAACTTAGATGTACCCGCTATGTTTGAGTAGCTCAGCCCGATTCAGTAAATTACTTGAAACTAATAAATGTCGTATTAAAGACTGTACACAGTCAGTGCTGGCTAAACAGTATATGATCTCACATCTGTTTCTCACTTTTGTTTTGTCTTCACAGTTTCGTCGTCACCAACGGTGACTCATCCCGCAGTGGCACCCTCCACTTCACCATCGAACATGGCGATCGCATCCCCCCCACCCTCAACCACAACACCGGCCTCCGGCTGCAGGACGGCTCCACTGAGACCATCACCTCTGACCAGCTGCAGCTCACTGACCCCGACACTGCCACCACCAACCTCACCTACGTCATCACACAGCCGCCACGCCATGGTAACCTGCTGCTGAGGGGAGTCCCACTGACACCTCCTCTGAGGTTCACCCAGACGGACGTAGATGAGCTGAACCTAGCTTACCTACACGGCCCGGGCAGCTCAGTGGAGATCGACAGGTTCTACTTCCTGCCGAGTGACGGGACCAACATCGGATACCTGGAGTTTGGACAGCTGAGAGAGGGGCCCGCAGTGTTTAACATACAGGTGAGCTGTCACACAGAAGTCAGACTGTGCACTGATGAAACTTACCTCACGAAACTGAAGAGCCAACACATCATGACCACTCACAGAAGAAGAAGAAAATGTTTATCTTGAGACAACAGCTCATGTCAAAGTCTGGGATACCTACAGTATATATCAGAGTCCCGTGTTCACTTGTGCTGGGTGTGGGCAGGTGTAAAGACCTAAGTGACTCTAATATGAGCCGAATCATTACATCACATTCTGACACTCACACCTTCCTAAACACTGTTGTGGATGAAGGCTGCTTCCCAAGTCTCTTACATGGGCCTACGTTTCCCTCACTTGTGTCTGGCATCTTAGTCCCACTCACATAAGATGCAAGGACAACATGAGAAAGAAATCGTGGGCACATGCTTTTGAGACATGAGAGGTCCTTTCCTCCGATTACTCACCTGAAGCGTCCAGCCAACACCTGACTTCCGATAAAGGGGCGCCTCAGTTCATCAAAGACTTCTATGAAGGATCCTCTTGTGTATCCTTACTCGTGGCTACTCTAGTAGCCTCCTAGCTCCTCAGAGTGGGAACAAGAGCTCTGGGACAGAGTTCAAGGTGTTTCCCTGGTGTCCAGATCTGTGGCTGAGTATCTGTGGGATATACTGAAAAAAGTCTGATCTGCTGCAGCTTCCAGGCTCTGTTGCTGACGTCTTGGTGTCAGATACCACAGGCCGCCTTTAGACGTCTTTGCATTTACACCTTGAGCAGTCAGCAGCGTGTTTAGGGCTTACTAATCTGAATGGCAAGATCAGAGGAAGTATACTTAATAATGCCAGGTGTAAATGTCGAGACCCATTGATTGGTCTTACTATCCAGGTACAGCTCTCATGTTAGCACCAGGCCAATGAGGCCTGAGAGCTGACGTCTGCAGAATTCGATTATGTAAAGACACTGGTTGAGGTTCGATGGTGGAGATAAAGCTGCTGTTGACTCTCTGTAAACCAGGACCAGCCCCCCCATCACATGCTACCTGCTCTCATACAGTAGACACAAGCAGGCAGCTAGGTGGCTAACTGGCTAACAGGCCGGCTGTACCGACTGACCTGAGCCTCTGAGAAACTGGAAACCGTCTGTGATTGGACGATGGGTTTGATAATGTGTGTGCGATGTCTACAGTCTGTGAGTATTTTGCTTTGCGTGTCTGTGTGTGAGTATTCAAAGGTTTCATGAGTACTTGACACACACACAGATCCACAGTTCATCCCTCGGTTCATTTTGGTCAGATCAGTCCAATAAAACTACTGTATGTGTTAATATGTGCTGAAAAACGAGCAGTGAAAATCGTTTTAGGAAAGAGGAGAAATACAGATGAGACCACATCAGGCTTAATGAAAGACAAAACGTTGAGGAGAAACTTTCCACTTGTGTTAAGTGTGTAGAGCTCAACATGGTCACTACACGTGACGAGGGCGACCTCCAGTGGCAAGACAGCTGAACTGCACTTTGTTGACTGAATTCTGCGCGCTTTGATTCTTCCTGTTCATTTCTGCTCAGTGGTCAGTTTATTAGGAACCCCTGTGCCCAACTATGCCAGATCTGACAGTGCTGCAGTAGATCCTCCTTCATGAAGGTGATCATGTTCAGTCTGTGTTCAGGCTGTTTCGCAGTGCTGCTGGTTCACTGTGGAGGCTGCAGTTTGTGCTGTTGTTCAACTGGACTGACATCTGTTTCTGACATTTAGCCTAGCCTCACTGACTGAGACAACAACACAGCGTGTAACAGTTGAAGAGCCTCCGTGAGGTTGTACCAGTAGCCCCATACAGTGATCTGTCTGCAAGTACAGCAGCCGTAAACTGAACTAACAGATGAGTCGTCTCCTGCTGTGTTCAGGTGGATCGTGTGGACAGAACTCCTCCCAGTCTGACCACCAGGCAGAGTCCCAGCACGGTGGTGGATCTGGGCGGCGGCCGTTATGGCATCTTCATCACTAACAGACACCTGCAAGCCTCTGACCCCGACAGCCCCACGGAGGAGCTGGAGTTCTCCATCAGCAGGCCTCCACACAATGGACACCTGGAGAACATTCACACAGGTGAAATGAGAGAAATGAGAGAGGCACTCAGTTTATCACCAGTTATCTCGCTCATTTCCAGATGTGTTCTTTAAGAATCTGAGGTGGTTTGTTTATTGTTTTGTGTCTTTTGCAGTAAAACCTATTGTTTGTGTTAAGTTTGATGTTAATTGAGCTTTTTTGACTTAAATGTAAATCTTTATTTAACACATGGCCATCTCCATGTCCTTCAAATGCACTTGTCATTTGTTTACTACATTAATAGATACATAAACCAGCTTTTAGCAACATGTAGGTAAGTGGAAGCAGAGACTTTGTGTCACCTTAAACCCTGTAGTTTAGCATCGCCATTATTTCAAACTCCCTATTACATGTGTAGATTTTTTTTTGGATTTTTTTCCAGTGGTCAAAGATACTTTATAAATTCTTATTTACTTTATATCTTCTATGCCTGTCTTTCTTGGTGCTGGCCTGCGCCCACTAGAGTTTTTCTTACTTGTGTACTTGTTTGGGCAAGAGTTAGTTCACTGAGTCCAAGCCCACACGAGGCCAGTTGGCCTGAGACTCTGTCTGTCCCCCCCCCCCCCCCCCAATCCCATCCCGCCAGGAGCCTACATCAAGGGCCGTTTCACTCAGCGGGACCTGGACCAGCGGGCTCTAGTCTTCGTCCTCCCAGCCGACATGGAGGTGACGGCCGACAGCTTCCAGTTTCGTCTCACCGACCCGGCAGGAAACGCCATGCTGCCTGAAATGTAGGTTTGTAGACTGGTGTACAGAAGCTACCTGAAACTGGTCGTGTTAAGAGAAGGGACTCAGTTTCAGTGACTGAACTAATAACATGGAGGTTTAATGTGTGCACATATTTATGATCATGTATCTCGATACAATTGTGGGTCATTATTTAACATTTTTTGGTATAACTGAAGAATTTTAGATTGAGTAACAATTATTTTGGAGACAGTCAGCACCAACCTCAGACCAGACCTCGTGCTGTGGTCAGAAGCACAGCGGGCTGTGCATTTTGTTGAGCTTGCAGTTCCCTGGGAGGATGCTGCAGATACAGCTTATGAGAGGAAGAAACTGAAATGCACAGAGTTGGCCATGGAGGCAGAGGAGCATGGCTGCAAAATTAAAGTCCACCCCGTGGAGGTTGGTTGTAGGGGGTTTGTTGCCAAGTCAGCTGTCTGTCTGCTAGGTGAGTTAGGTAGAGAAGGGCAGAGCCTAAGACAGGTAATAGGGAACCCAGCTGATAGTGCAGCTACATACAGTATCTGCTCTTCTCTTGGGTGAGGACAGGGTTCTGGATCCTTTGTGTTGAGGGGAGGATAGGTTTGGAAAATGGTGCTGCTTGTTTTGGGGCTCTGAAGGTTTATGACGGCCTGGCCTGACACACCCTCTCTGGGGCCAAGTAATGGCTAAACATTAACTCGTATACTGAGCTTCCACAGGAACGCTCTCCCATTCTTTGGCACATTTGTGTATTATTGACCATTGACTGTGCATGTGAAGGATTCAGTGTGTCGCCTGCAGACTGGAGCTGTCCTGGTCTCGAGTGGAGTTGTCAGCGACCTGCTACAGAACCTGTGAGACAGCGGAGATGCTTCAGATCCAGATCCAACGCAGTGGGAGGAGCATCGACCCGGCCTACGTGGCTATCCAGGTAGCACGGTGACCCCTCCCTCCACCACCTCCACACAGTCTGTGAAGCATTCAGTTTTCAAATCTGCTTTTAATTATTAATCTTTGAGTTGGTGCTCAGTATTTGTTTAATGTCTCTGTCAGGTGGAGGAAGGATCGGCCAAACCCGGAAGAGATTTCACTCACAGCACAGCCGGTCTCATCCAGTTTGACCCAGGTCTGACTCAGCTGGACTCTAGTCTGTTCTGTTCACTTCTAAGCAGCTTTGTTTAGCCCAGACAGTCAGAATCATCAGTGCATCTTCAGCTGGATCAGTTCACCAAACTTAAAAATTGTTATTGAATAGTTTGTATGAGTTGAGCAGCTCTGATTGCTCCTGCTATCCATAAAACAGTGGTGGTTACTGTCACCTCATCTGTTTTCTGTTACAGGAGTCAGTGTGAAAACCTGGAACATTTACCTGATAGATGACAGACTGGAGGAGAACCACGAGACCTTCACTGTCACCCTGAAAAACCCAAAAAACGCCGTCCTGGGACAGAGGACTTCCGCTAGTGTTGAGATCATCGACCCCAGAGGAGGTGAAAACTGTCGGTGATAATAATTAGTTATAATAATCATCAGTCAGCTGTGTCTCCATCATGGGGAGACTGTAGAGTTGTCAGTTTACTAATAAAAAAGGAACAAATGTTTCGTCTACAAAAGAAGCAGATATCACAACATCCAGGTGTATCAGAAGGCTGTGTGTCCATCAGCCTTCATCACATCTGGACACGCCAACGTTCCCACCTCATCCCAGCTTGGAGATGCCCTGCACTGTTCTGTCTTTCCTCAGTTTCTACTGCTTCCACTCAGTTCTTTACGCACAGATTCAAAATATACACACAGCATTCTCACATTATTATGAACCTGGTGAAAAATCAGCAGTACGGCTTTAACAGCAGACCCAGAGGTTTATAAATCTGTTTATTTTGGCTTCTTGTTTACTTGATTCTTCATTTAATTTTCTAAACAACTGTCCAGAATGAATCCAACAAACTATAGCAAAATAGGTATTCCTGTTACTTTGTCCTCCCCATCAGTGAGGTTAAATACCAGAACCAGCTCTCTGCATAACTCAGTTCAGCTGAACAGCAGCACCAGCTCCAGCCTCCACAATGATCTGAGACAGTGTGAACACAGGCTGAACACCATCACCTTCATGAAGGAGGATTTACTGCAGCATGTTGGACCAGACTGACTCGGTCTGACACCGGGGTTCCTAATAAACTGACACCAGAGCGTCAGTAAAACCTAGTATATCACCAAAAAAAAACAAACATGTGCCTCTCTGCTGTCCACCAGGGAGGTGCGACCCAGACAACCTGAGGGTGGAGGAGGATGAGAAGCGCCTCCGCCCGCCTCCTCCTGACCTCCCCGGGCCAGACGAGGACCCCATCACCGACATCGAAGCAGAGCTGCTGTGGGAGAACCAGCCTCACCCTCCCAGAGGAGACGTCCCGAATCGTTGGCCCTTCCTGGACTACGAAGAGGGGGACCCACAGGACCAGGCGGCCCCCGGCAGGCAGCTCCCGGGGACACGCAATGGGAGCAACGGACACAGGGTCAGACATGGAGCACAGAGGGTGGGTGTTCTTCTAGTTTTAGCTCCCAGATGTCCCCCAGTCTCCTTAAGGAAAATTCTGGTTAATCACAATAAATAATACAAGGATTCAGTTCAGTGTTGCAACAGTGTTCAACATCACATTTAACATAAACATAGTCTGCATGCAGAAATCTTGAAACCTTCCTGTCAGTGTGGCTTCACTCTAAAAGCTTATAGTTTAGTTTTTCCCCTGATCTTTGTGTTGATGGTCAGATGTTAGGAGAGAGGAGGCCAGGGGAGAAGGTCTGGACGGTGAGACTCACGGTCGCTTCATCCAAAGTTCAATCAAAGCACACACAGTTAACGTCCATCTGGTTCTCCTCCTCCTCCACAGTTCCACAGTCTGACTCCTCTCCGGCTGGAGGAGCTGAGGCCGGGCAACACCGCATGGAGCTGGTCACCTCCGAGCGGCCTCCTGCAGGAGCTCCCAGTTGGAGACGCTCCTCAGATGGATCGTCCATCACCCAGACACCACATGGAGCTACGCCAACACAAGGTACAAACACACACATGCTGAGTGTTTTCAGTCTATTTCATAATAAAAATCTATTTCATGTCTTCAGCTAGAAACATTTAACTATTCCTGTAGTGAACAGACAGAGACACTGATGTGGCTCTAACTCACCTTCTAGATCATTTAGCTAGAGAGGAGCCTTGTGCAGTGTCCTGGCCTCTTCTGCCCTCTACAGGGGGGAGGTGCCACTGAATGACAATTAGTGTTGATTCATTGTAGTCACCAAGCACTGAGCTAACTCCACTGATAGCCTCTCTTCTCCCAGGCTGAGCCCTAAATATGAGCCGCCACCGTCCGAATGAGTCGCTGCGGATAGCACAGCTGGCTGTTGAGTGTCACATTCTGTTATAAACTCAGACATGCTCTGTCTTCTGTTCCTCAGACAGGGAAGTCTCCCAGCAGCTTGTGTCCAGACGGTTGGACTCACTACAGGAGACACTGTTACATCCTCAGCTCGTCTGTGGCCACGTGGACCAGCGCTGAGCGATCCTGCTCCCTGCTGTAAGCAACACACAGACCCGCTCTTCTGTCTTATTGTTGTTTTGTTTGGACCTCATCCCTGACCTTTAAGAATAAGGCTGGTTCAGCTTATCAGTCTGTGCCGTAGGCCTCCACTGTTGTCCACCAGCTATTAAACCCACTGCAGTGCACAATGTTTTGAGCGGTTTCCACCCATTCAGGATTTTCCTTTCATTTTCTCCCATCTGCATGTTAAGTTTCAGTTGACTTTAACTGTGTGTGACTCTGACACTAACATGTTTTCTAACACACTGTCAGGTTTAACAGCAGCCTGACCAGCGTGCAGTCCCGAAGAGACATGACCTGGCTGTGGAAGTTTGCAGGGAGGAAGCCATTTTGGATCGGTGAGTGCCTGCTCTCATCAACATGCCGAATGCCTGTGTGACAGGTCCAGGATGCTACATTTAATCATATGAAAGAAATATCAACTTGTTTCCCAGCTTTAAAATTGTGGACCTCCAGCAGGAAGCAGTCACACAAACAGATTTGTTTTTAAGTGGCACATGTGTATCAGTATAAACCTTTGATAAACCACATTTAAAACGTTTGGGGAAAAACTGTTGTGTTCAGTTTCGATGCCATATGTCAGAACAACATCCAGGGTGTGATCAAAGTCTTTTTTTAAGTTCACATTGAAAGTGAACAAAAACCTGTGGATGGAAACACACCCAGTGTCTGTTAGTGCTGGGTGTCAAACCTCAACCCGAATCCTGGTCAGGAACAGTCAGGGTCCAGTTTCCAGACACTCAACTCTTCTCCGTGTTCCTCAGGTCTGTCTGGAGGTCCGGTCCGCTGGATGTGGGCTGATGGTCGGTCCGTGTCCTTCTCCAGACTGAAGTGGGCACCGCTGGACCACAGCAAGTCCGAGGTCAGCTCAGACTGCATGCTGGCTGAAAACCCCAGAAGCTGGATCTCCACCAGCTGCTCTGCTGAAACTCAGCACACATTCATATGTTCATCGCCGGCTCACGCTCACTGAGAGGCACTCGGCATATTTACTGCTATCATCACCACAACCTGTGTGAATGCTGCCTTTAAGTCATATTTAATGTTACGCAACGATGCTGCTCTGTACATTAGTTTTTATATTTGACATAATAAAGATTGTTGCCCAAACAGAAATGAGTCTGAATTTAGACATTTGATGTCAGTCTATCCATGTTCACTACACACCCTGCTGTGAAATGATGCATTAGTATTGGGTTTGTATACAATTTGGAATAAGCTGAGCGAACTCTGATAATTGAACAGACGCTGACCCGTCAGATATAAAAGAGTTTACTATTTATTTTTATATAATGGAGGTAATGAAGAATTACAGCTGTGTGCATTAGATACGTTCTAATAAAGGCTCTTGTTTTTAGCTGTGGTGAAGTTCAGCCTTTATAAAACCAGCCTGAAGTGACCACAGCGCAGCAGAACTCTGCTCTGGTTGCAGTAGTGGTCGATCTCTGAATAAAAATACACCTGGTCCAAATATTATAAACCTATCTGATGGTCATGGTGCAACTTATCATAAGGACATGCTTTGAATCCACTTGGCCAAGTCACATGATTGTTTCACCTTAATTCATGAAACGTTTCCTGTTTTGGCAGTTGGAACATACAACAGCTGGTCTTGAGTCGGTTGACACTACCTGAATAACCAAATAAGAGTTTGGGCTGATCCCCAGTCAGTGATTGCCGTTACTTGTAGCTCATCAGATGGGCCACGTCCCAAACGGTCAGATTCTGTGGAGCTTCATGTAGGAGAGAGACAAACGTATTTGATATTTGGACAAGTTGACTTGAATGATGGAGGAAGCAAGAAAAAGAACAAGGTCACTTGTGTGGGGGCATTTTGAGCATTAATGTCGGAATTTGAATTAAAGTTGGAATCTTAGTAGCAGAACACAATGAACAGCTGTTTCTGTTCACTGGTAACTATTATATTTACACTAGCAGATAAATAGGAGACTGCAGACAATCTTTAATTGGACTTATTTTTATTGCCATATCTATGATAGACATCTGAATGCTCTTTTAAAAATAAGAAAAAAAAAAGCAGCAAAATTGTATTAAGAATATTTTAAAACACAGGTTTAGACCCAGTGCTACTGGACAGGATTGGCAGTGACCCCTGCAATCTATTTTGCTTGCGCTTAAACTTTATGTGATGTTTTGAGCATTACCTGTTAAACAATATGTCGAGTATTTTACAATCAAAACAAATAGTAAAAATAAAAACCATCAAAGTTAATAAAAATGTAAAGAGACATGGACTGTACAATAAGCACTATAGGATTTGCATTTCTCTCTACAATCTCTTTTCATTTGCTTGTGATGTAGTTATGTCAGGCACAATCACTGTGTTGTGCATTGTCCTTTGTAAAGAAACAACATTAAAATAGCTAAATAATGTTTTACTGTCAAAACAAAAAAGAAATGAGTGATAGACATGTTTTATATTGGAAAGTGGGAGCTCCAGTGCTCCTTCATCTTTGGCTTCACAAAAGTAAGAAAGTTTATTTTTATTGTTGACTATTTTGGTGTGATATCTGCAGCAGACAATAAAGAAAACTACAAAAACCTCTTAAGAATGGCAAGACAAATGTAAAAAAGCTTTCTATAAAAACCACATGTACACAGAGCCAGAGCTACAGCGTTTCCCACACGTGTCCTGCTTTTCACTGTTTGAAAGTCCTTCACAGTGAGTCTCAGGCTGCAGCACCTGGTTTTCATGCTGCTCTTGGTGTCTGCGTTGCTCTTGTCTGTACAAGTAACTGCCCTAGTTTTCATACTGAATGTCATAAGCAAGAGGTCCACTAATCGCAAAGCCAACATAGAAGGAAACCTTTTCAGTGCTGTAACAGCTCCTTATCCCACCAATCAGAGCAGGACGCACCGGGATTTTCAGTTTTGCATAATTGGCGTACACCTCTCCTTGCTCAATAGTTCCAGTAACTCGATGGAGGGGGTTAATGATTGCCTTGTCTCTAAATATATCTCCACTCCGCCAAAGTTGTGCCAAGGCATCACGGCGCATCGGCTTAAAATTCTCATCCAGTTGGGGTTTAGAAACAAGCCTTTTGAGTTCCTCTTCTTTCCCCAAGTAGAGGTGGGCAACAGTGCTCCTGTTTGGAAACAGTGAAGTCAGGCGCTTGCGGTATGACTTTCTAATCGCTTTCACATATGTTACAATTTCTTTGTTTTCCTGTGTGGGACTCGGCCAGAATAGGAGAAGAGCCAGGTAGTATGGGTCTGGGTAGGGGTAATGAAGCCCTACATCTTGCAGAGTTTTCAAAAGGAGATCAGAGAGGTAGCTGTAACTCTTCACATGTTTAGACTTTGGTTTCACAATGTAAAGAACTATGTTGGACAAGATGTAATTGATGGTTTCCTTTGTCTTTTGTTTTTTGTTGACAAAATTTTGTTGCTGCTGCAAGAACACGTAGCATTCTGTGATCTCCTCAATCTCTTTGGCAGGTTTGTCCAAATAGTAAAGAATCCCTGCAAATGTGTCTGCCTGTTTCTCTTCGAGAAACAGTCTCCGTTCTTCAATGTTGATCTTCAAATTGAGATTAGGATTGTTTTGTCTTTCTTTGTTTACTTCCTCTGGTGCAGAGCAAAAAAGAGTAACGTACTTTTTAAAATGAGAACAGACGGTGAAGTGATTCTTGATATCAAATTCTGAATTGTTTCCTTTTATATACATGAAGTAACAGTTAAGAAGATCGAATATTTCTTTTACCTCAGTTTTCAAACTGAGGAGAAACTTGTCATGTTCTTTGATGATCTCCACGTACCTGTTGTTGATCTCATTGTTCTCCATGTACACACTGGTGATTGGCAATGCTCCCTTCAGAAAACTCTGCAAGTACTTCTTCTTCATTGGATCACTTTCCTCAAAGAATGGCAACCTGCTCAATATCTCAAAAATCAGGGAAGCTATATCCAGCACCCCAACATAGCCGTAAACAGTGTATGACTTCTTGGGATAGTCCTCTGAGTCATTCCCATCTGCTGCTTCATCATGTCCATCCTCTATGTTCGCTAGCTCTTGAGCCCTTTTAAATGCTCGGATAGCATTTTGTGCTAACTTCATGTTTGTGTTCAAGTCCTCTGGATTGTGTGAGGTCTCCTGCTTCTCTTTATCTATGTTACACTTCAGGTTGCTTTTGTACACTTGTCCAATTGTGTCAAAGGTGTATGGGTTTTCTTTAATGTTCTTGGCCTTTTCTGCCCATTTCACGGCCTCTGGGAAGTCCCTCTCATTGATGTACAAGTACCTTGCCAGTGCCTGAGGAATAGATGCACTTGTTTCAAACCTGGGTGATGCTTTTTCAAGGATTTCTTGGACTGTTTGTCTTCCTTGCTGGCTGTGGATTTTGTCTATGAGAGGAGAAAACTGTTCTCTCTCATTTGAATCTTTCTTCCGCTGCCTTTCAATCAGCATTTGTCGAATTGAGAGCACAAATTTGTGTTTGACAACTCCAACACTGAAGAACAGATCACAGTGAAGGATCTCCATCACAATATCACTTACTTTTAAAAAGCAGCTTCTCTCCAACTCTTCCAGACATGCAGCTGCTATGGAGTAATGTACGATTCGCATTGCTTTGTATCCTCCCCAGTCTTCTACTCTGTCTATGATGAGCAAGTTTGAATATGGCTCCATTCTGTGTAACACACTGTCATCTTTCCAGGCAACTGAGTAAAACATTTTCATCCCAAAAAAGTCTTCACACAGAGAGAGAGAGATTTCAGACTCTGCGGCATATGTGTTCAGCAAGGCCAGAAAGGCAAACAGTTGGGCCTTTTTTGTGCTGAAGTCAAAGCTCTCCAGTGTGTTACGAGCAAGATCATTTATGTACTTTTTGTCAAAGTTGCTCTTCATGATCATGAAGCTGTAAAAGTTTTCAGGTTTTTCATGAGTTTCTTTGAGCTCTTTAAGTTTCTTTTCAAAATCCTTCTGTTCTTCTGGTTTCAGTGAAGCTGTGATGTACTGGCTTGGTGTTGTAATGCGTTGGTACTGCTCCTTTGGGCTACAGGAACGAACACAGTTAAGTACGATGACTTTGCAGCTTGGTGCATCATTCACATTTACGACTGAGCCGTCCACTACAGCGTCTTTATATATGCAGTGAACAAGATCATGAGCATTCTCAGTTTCTTTTGAATCGTCAACTAACAGTAAAACCGGGGATGGTTTCTCACTGTCAAGCTTCATGAGCCTGCTGACTTGAACGGCAACCTCTGTCTTTGGGAGTGTGTTGTCTTTTAGCACAGCACATCTGAACTCTTGACGGAGATCCCACATCACATGCATCGCTAATGTGGTGCCGCCACATCCTGGATGGTGAAACAGATTCAGCAGATCACACGGCTTCGATTCTTTCGACAAAGACCTAATCATCTTCTTCATGGTTTCATACTTGTCTCTTTTGACAAAAGGCTTTTCTTTGTCTTTGTCACAGAAGTAGAAGTTCCACCATTTGACTTTGCCTCCCCTGTAGAATTCCTCCTCAACTTTGACTCTGAAGTCTTGAAACTCTGAACTGTTTTCATCGTAAATGTTTTCACACTGATTCAGACATAAGATATCCAGAGCAGTCATGCAATCTTCATCCTTCTGTTTGAGAATGACAGCACTGGAGCCAGAAGAGGGAAGCAGCCTTCCACATGACTGATTCTGTGGTCCCATTGCCATTATAGTACCACTGATCTCACTTAGGGTTAGTTCATAAATGGACAGACGATCAATTTCAAAGTCACACTTCTCTTGTATCAGCTCCCTCCATTTCAGATATGTGCTCCGAGATTCACAAATAGTGATGATGCTTTCCTCTTCTGTGTGTTTTATTAAAGCCCTGTAGGTTTCGAAGACTGGGTCTTTTTCATTGTGCACAGGTGAAAGCAGGAGGAATATGATGAGTCTTCTTCCAGGGGGAAGAACTTCAGGGTTGCAGATCAACGCAACTAACTGCTCTACATCTCTGCAAGATTTCCTCAGCCAGTTCTTATAATCCAACTCCTTATTTGAGTCACTGTCGAGATCATGTCTGCCATTGCAGAATACCCAGCTGGTCTGTCTATAAAGGTTAAGATTCTTTATCACCAAGTCAGTCTGTCCCTGATACTGTGCTGGTGTATGCAGATTGGCCACCCTAGACTCTCTGTATGAATGACACAGTCCACCAGGAGCAGCAGAGTTGGGGTCAAAGTCTAACACACAGAACAGTTTCAACTTACTCAGGAACTGGAGATACTGCTGTTGTTGAGGACTGCTCTTGTTTACAACAACCACAAACCTTTCATAGTTGTCCAGTGAGTTTGAACCACAAGTTAACAAGTTCTTTAGTTTGTCACCCTGGTTAGCTTCTCTCTTCAAAACGTCTTCTGAAAGACGTGGCTGCTTCAGTGGACCTGCAGGATCATCAAAATAAATGCACTATTAAGTGGAAAAATACACAACACAAGCTTTTCTGTTGAACTTTAAAGATTCAGGCAGGTGTTATTCTGTATTTGTCTTACTCTCACATGAAAAAGCCAAAACCAACTATGTGTTTGTTATTTCTGAATTTCCTGGTTCATGCTGAAGATGTACATTTTTAAAAACATCTCTTAAATACTGTTTTAAAAAAAGGTTAAGTAGTTTTCTAAAACAACCATCTGCTGTAGCTGAAATCCATCAGTTGTAGTGGACTGTGTCCAGCAGCAGATGAATCCACATTTGGTCTCTAGCAAGTATTTGAGGATTTGTGGCAGCAGCACAGTGAATGTGGGACTGACACAAAATAAACTAGTGTGTGTGTGTGTGTCTGTTCATGATGATGACCAGTGTCACCCAGTACAACAGTGTGGTCACTGATGTGGTGTTTTAGCTTTCTCCACAGCAGTGGAGCTCTGAATGTTCTAACAGGTTGTGGATTTGGTGTTTTGATGTTACTTGTTGCTGGTAAAAAAAAATACTGCTGGCTGTCACTGAGGTGCAGTTAAGTTACTGCAAATACATTTAGACAGTACTGGTCAAAGTGGGATCGTAGTTTCACCTCCAAGTAAGTTCGACTTGATTAAATGTGCGTCAGTGTAACAACAGTGCAAACTGTCAGCAAAAAGCTACACAACTACACAAAACAAGTGGAACTATCTGAATTTGTTTTTCCATGAGATGTCTTACCCATCTCGTTTTCCAGCTCACTAGCAAGTTGACGCTGATTGATGTCTTTTAGAATGTCGATTGTGACATATACAGCCTCATGTTGATAATAGTCAGTCATTAGCCTAGCGGTGTCCATGGTGTCCTTGCCCTCCAGTTTCCCCTGAGAAATAGGTTTAAACTTGGATGTCTTGTATTGGCATAAGTGGAAGTGAAAATTTTTAAAATCATCTTTGAAAAGGTTTTCTAGTTTTTTTTGGAGGATCAGAGTGATCATGGATATGTCTGGTTCGACTACAGTCTGCAAGAAGAAACAGAAGTATGGTTAGAAGTTAGGTTTTTGTCTTATTAGCACATTTTGCTATTTCGTAGGCTTGATGAACAGCCTGCACACAACACTTCATATACTATGTCGTAAAAAACAAAGCAGAAAGTTTTACCCACAAGCTTTTCTTTCCTCTCGACCCCCACGTTCTCTGGTGGTGGCTGCTGATTTTCCTTCCTCGCTGAAACGCTGCCAGATGTGAGCTGAGCCTTTCCAGATTCATGTTCTCCCATTCCTTGATTTTTTGATTCTGGTTGTTTGGTTGTGGTGGCCTGAGCCAGACTCAGTTCAGGTTGAAAGGATTTTGAAGCTTCTGTTTGGTCTGTGCTGGTGTGAGGGATGGGTTGTAGCGTGGGTTCTGGCTTCTTGTTCAGGCTACGGAGCTCTGCCATAATCTTTACAGCTGGACCAGATTTCACATCCAGATCCAACAAATCCTGCTTCTTGAAGCAAACGAGGCAATTGCCTGACACATCCTCGTCTAGGAGCCTCTGTCCATATTTGCCATATACCTTCACATGCTGCAGCAACCACTGGTTCACCTGCTGCTTTGTCCAGTTTCCCACATATGCTGGATACTCTGACTCAAACTGTGACCCTTCTTTAAGCTTTTCTAGGTAACATGTGATTTTGACAGCAGGACCGTGTTTTATTTCCAAGTCCAATATGTCTGTCTTTTTAAATTCAACTAAACTCTCTCCCGACACTTCTGCTTCTTTGAATTTGTCTGCGCAAGCCTCATGAACTTTGACCTCTGTCGTCAGCCATTGGTGGACATCTTCGATGGTCCATATGGAAACCTGAGGTGGTGGCTTTGTTGTGGAGCGCCTCATTTTGGATCAACTAAAAATGAAACAGTGGAGCAGAAGATTAAAATAACTAAAGAGTAAGAAAAGATAGTGTTGAGAGGTGAAAGTGAACAAAATACACTTTGTGTATGTCAGTGTCGTGGCTAGAGTGTGATGCTGACTAAATTAATTCGGACAAACCATCCCAATTTAAGTGACCATTTAATATTACAATTATTCTGAACAGAGTAGCAGTTGAATAGACAATCTGATAGTTAGGGAACAGAGAACAGAGACTCTCCTCCTGCAATGTGATAGATAAAATGTTAAATAAGAAGTTTGTCAAAAGCGTCAGTCAGTCCTGGTTACAAGGTCCAGTCAGTCAGTTGTTGTTACGAGGTACCGTCAGTCTTAGTCAGCAGTCAATCTTAATTCAGCGTCCCCCCAGCCGGCTGGGTTCACTACAAAATATACTCTCCCTGTCATAGTAGCATTGTCATCCTCTCTACCTCCTTCTTCTGCTCTAACCCAGCTTTTTATCTGCTTGCACTTACACAGCCCTCCATGGCCTGAGCCATAAAGACGCCGTCCCATGCCAGCTACCCACACACACCTTCTCCCGAGCATTGTCTAAAAATGTCCAGTACGTGAACTTCTAGGTCGCATTGACCTAGCGCACATTTCCTTTTTCTAAACCTGAACAGAGCACACGAACAGTTCACATAAGGCTGCAGCTACAGTATATCCATTCCCTATCTGAGGAGGAAGTCACTCGGGATGTTGACCCATAGGTTAAACAAGGGGAACACAGCCCAAGATATTCTTGCCTGTGCCCGAAACAGATCAAGCTTCCGTACAGACTTAGCTCAGCCTTACATCCTTACACAACTATCATAAATAATATCTAAATATGAACTACATACTGTTACCTCTGAAACCTTATTTATTTTTAGCGACTACATCAGTCAAAATAAAATGGCAAAAAATTTAATGAAACTATCAACATGGTTTCTAAGGACTATCTTCCCACTGCATGAGCAGAGATTTGTTAAGACTCACAATGAGAATTACAGAATGGTAAACTGTGTCTCTGAAGGGATCAACTCCTGTTTGGTCTCTTGACCTGACATCTTTCTAACTAACATTACTGAAGTTCAACAGGAGAGACTGACTCTTTATAAGAGACCTATTTAGGGACACATTTGTTATTGGAGTTATGTTTGAGTTTTCTTTTTCAACTCAAGAGCCTAAACAAAAAGAAAATAATCAATACTGATACCAAACCACAACTGTTTATGGTTCTCATATTTACACAGGTTAACAGATTTGATGGAGGTGTTCGTTCCTTTTTTAACATTCTCAAAGGCAGTTATATATTCTGATGGAGTTAAACTTATTCTAGGTTAATACAAGAGGTTTACGAAAAGCTCTTTTTCTGTTTTGTAAAGAGGTGAAAGCAGTTCTGTTATTTCTGCAGGAATGTCATTCATGTCCAGATGAATTGAAACTATGGGGAAAATCAATGGGGCAATGAAATTTGGTTTTTGCATGGCACAAATCATTCTGCAGGGTAGCTATCCTTAAAGACAGATTTAAAGGAAAAATAGTTGAGTCAAGGAGTGATTCTATTAGACACTGGCTGGTACTTTTTACCATACGGACTCTGCAACTGTCTAAGTGTCAAGTCTGTCTAAGCAGGATGTCTTCTGTTTGGTGACATTAATTGAGGAAAAAAGATATGAGGCTCTTGACAGGCCCTCTGCTTTGCTGAGTAGGACTCTACCATATAGAGATAAATCTCTGGCTAACCAAGTGTTGAATTTCATTTTGAGTGATGAAATTAAAGGGTCCAAAGTATCATTAATCCATTTCTTATCATCCTTTGTGATCATAATTCCTAAATATTTCACTGTGTCTTTTACTGGGATGTTATATAACTGATTCTACGATGTCTTTAAGAGCAAGAATCTCACACTTTAGTTGAGGTTGAGACCATACACTTTAGGGAAGTTTTTACAACAGATAAAGCATGAGAGACTTCAGTTTTACTTTCTAGAAATAAAGTTGTGTCATCAGCTAGTTGCGAATTTTTTATTTGCCTACCATTAAAACTGATGCCTTTAAAGGGATGCTGATTTATTAATAAGTTAAGAACGTCTCCTACTAGTAAGAAGAGGTAAGGAGAGATAGGACAGCCCTGGCAAATTCCTCTCTTAATGTCAAATCTGGGTGATGTGTCAAAGGGCAGCTTCACAGAGCTGTTGTTACCATTGCATAATGTTTTGATACCTTCAATGAAAAAGTTGTCAAAGTGGGAGAAGCTTAAGGCATCAAAAATGAAACTGTGGAATACTGGGTCAAAGGCTTTTTGAAAGTCCAAGAATAAAATTAAAGGACTGCCATCAAGAAGATCTTTATAGTTGACTAAATCGATGACTAGCCGAATATTGTTGGAGATATGCTGACCGCTTATGAATCCACATTGGGATTCATGAATTATTTCATTAAAGCCAGATTTTAAACATTTTGCCAATATGGGGGCAAAAATTTTATAGTCATTGTTGAGTATGATGGTCGCCAATTATCAATAAGTAAGGGATCTTTCTTAGTTTTGAGGATCAAGGTGATAAGTCTTTGTCTCAAAGATGGTGGTAATTCTCCCTTGCTTCATTATAGACAGTGTTAGGTATTTTTAGTCAGATAGAAATTGGATAGATACTTTATGTATTAGAAATGTTTAGTGGAGATAGGATGTCTAGTTAGACTGTTAAATGCTTAGTCATGCTTATGAGTTTCTACAGGGTACATCTGGTCAAGGATAACTAGAGAGAAGAGTTGATGACTGTCAGCAGACAGGGTGTTTAATATTATTATTATGACGTGTATAACTGTAGCCTTAGCCATAATATGTTCTTATGTTTAAGTCATAGACTTGCTAAAGGAAATAATGAAGAAAACCAATGACAAGATAATTCGTGAAAAAAATGGAGACATCCTTGTCCTATTGAAGACTAGAAGTGGTCAAGCATTGCCTTGCCATCCAAGACTTCATTGAGAGATGGCCTGCTCTGTTCTGTGAAGCTCAGGTAAATGTGGTCCTTTGTTTCATCAGCTGATGCTGTGATTGTTGTGTACAGGTTGCAAGATAATTAGTAAAATGCACTCAATCCCCCAGTTTATTTGATACTCCTTGCTAATACAGCCCTAGACATTCTACATTCACTGAGGCTTTGAGTTTTTAAAAAAATTGCTTTAGAGAGGTGTTGTTTCAACTTGATGGCCATTTTACAGGATGTAATTTATTGTATTGCATTACAGTTCAACAGCAGCACAGTTCACATCCTACATCCTGCTGTATGAGCATATAACACCTGAAATAGTTTGAACCAAACTGTACATTGTCACCTTCAAGAAGGAGGATCTGCAGTATCTATAAAAAGTGTTCACCACCTTGGATGCTTTCATTATTAGATTATTGTGTTTTATCACCTTTTGTTTCAGATCAAAGAAGAGTTCAGAAGGATAACAGCAATACATCTGGGGTGGACCTTTTTCTCAAAACTGGACCTCGACACCACCAAATTTCTGGAGATATTTAAGACAAAGAGAGGCAGGCGTTGCAGGCAC